TGAGGGCCATCGTGGACCCGTGTTGTGCCGTTTTGGGGCTCTCTTGGGTTGCCTGGAAGCCTCCTGGTATGGTTGTCGGGCGATTTTGGAGCCTCCCAGGCGGCTTCGGACGCCCAGGAGACCGCCGCCTTGGAGCGTCGCGAAGCCGAAAGGAGGAGAACCCCAAAAATCACAAAAAACCAACAGAATATCAATGATTTGTGCCTCTTGGGGTCTTGTTGGGAGTGCTCTTGGAGGCCTCTTTGGGGCCATCCTGGAGGCCTCTTGGGCCATCTGGAGGTCACGTCGATCACTCTTGGAGCGCTCTTGTGCTGTCTTGGGGGTCTCTGGGACGTCTCCGATGACCCCCCTGATCGCCTTAGGTGTGTTGGGAAGGCTAGGCAAAACGTCCTGCGAGGACCCGGGGGCCGCTTCGAGGCCCGTCCGCGGGGTTCCAAAGCCCCAGATCCCGGGAGTCCGGTTTTGGGGGGGATGGGGGTTCCCCCCGCCCGGGCTTGTAAAAGTATAGGAAGAGGAGTATATCACCGCCCACCAAACCACCCCAACCCAACCCGAAGGCCCCAATTTGCCTTCCATTTCCGATGGGGGGGGTCGGGAAACATGGACAAAAACACATCTGAAGCCCGTACCCCCCCCCCCCCGAACCCGAAATTCGGATCTTCGGGTTGGTTTGTGGTCTGGTGGTAGGTAGTCAATATCTAGGTCGGGGAACCATTCGTGGCCGAGGTTTGCCAGGGCCAGGCAAGCCCACCGGCTCCTTACTCTGCATCCCTTGCGGTAGCACGATGGCCATGCACATTCTGCCCGCGTGCATTTCTTCGTCATCCTCATCAGCACCTTTGTTGTCAGCATCACCAGCGACAGCACTGCCACCGTCATCAACATCACAGTCACCATCAAAGTCATAGACGTCGTTATCAATCTCATCCACCACCGCCGTCACCAAGGGCACCGACAAGGAAATCGTCGTTGACGTCGCCCATCAGCATCATCTTATTTTCATCGCCAGCGTATTCATTGCCACCGTCATCGCCATCATATCCATCACACCTTCTATCTTCGCCGTCGTTATCATCTCGAAGTTCTTCATCGTTATCACCATCATTATCGTCATCGTTGCCGTTGTCGCCCTGGTCATCAGCGCCACAATCAACATCATGATGATGATGCTGATCATCATCATCATCATCATCATCATCATCATCATTATCATCATCATCAGCATCAGCATCAGCATCAGCAGCAGCATCATCAATATCATCACCATTATCATCCGCATCCTTCTTCTCATCATCATCAGCAGCATCGCCATCAGTATTATTTCGCCCGAGGCATGGATCTGCATTCGAAGGGCCCCCGCGTCTTTACGCCAGTGGAGTTTTGCCAACCAGTTGCGCGTTAGGGAATGGGATGTTTGGACGAGCATCGGAAAGGGGGTCACGTGCGGGTGCCAGCAATGTCATTTAGACCCCGCAGTTTGCTCTGTATGGATCGCACCATATTTGTTCATATCTACTTTTACGCAGGTACTGTCAGACGTGGGCTGCACCATGCACAGAAATGCCACACATACTGCACACAGAGAGTTGATTAATGACCTGCTTTGAGGCCATGCTGGTAAACGTTTTTTTGCTTTCTTGACATTACGTCCTTGACGTAGCCATCTTGGCTGGAGCATTAGGCGCCGAAGGCGCACTCCGCGCTTTACCAATATGGCGAGGCGCGGAACTGCCAACTTCACACCTGCAGGTACAGATTGGCAGAAGCATCAGTGGTGGTATGAGGCGATGTGCCACAGCAGCGACATGGTTGATGCGATGGGCCCCAGGCTCAATAATCACGCCGACGGTATCCCGAACGAGGCTGGCCGGCATGAGCACAATATTGGATACAGATACGCGCGGACGACTTACGACAACGACATGCGCAAGACCTGGGGCGACGGGAAGAAGGCGTCCTATGAACAGAACTTAGACGGCCATCACCCGTCGATCTGGATTTTAGATACTTTTGGACCGTGGATGTGAATCACAGATTGCTGACTCATTGATCGATCGGTGCGCGATCGAGTGGGTGTTCGATAACCGCAAGAAGCCATTAAGGACCCCCCGGGATTAGCATTAGCACAGCACCGTAATTCAGTAATTCTGGGGGGCGGTTTTCGCCGAACGATGTGATTAGCACCGCGCAAATGGAACGAACATAAATAATTCCCGCGCCCCTGCTCGGGTGGTATCCCACTTGGAATCGGAATAAGACTAATAACAACAGTGACATGCGATTAATAATAATAATAACAATAATACGAATACTATTAAGTGTAATAGTAATAAGAATAAGAGTAATGATAAGAGTAAGAGCAATCAACATCTTCATCCGAATCATAAGAACAAGACTCGTCTGCGTTCACATAAAAGTGCGAAGGGTAACGCTTCTGGGGTGCCGGATGCGTTATACTTTCGCCGGAGAGGGGGGGTTCTTAATTGCTTCTTGCGTTAAACATAGGGTGCCGCTCTAGGAGGTGGATCGGGACAGCTGGATCGCGATCGGAACCAGGCCGCCTATCGATTCCGATGGTGCGGGGCGCTGAGGCCGAGAGGATCTTCCGGGCGAATGCGCCGGAGGGCCGCGCCGGCAAGTGCAGCTGGGATGGGAACGTCTTCGAGCCCATCGGCCATCGCGTGTTGCACTGCACCCCGTCGGCCTCCTTCTCCGCCCGCGCTCCGGCGCGCGCCGCCGCGGGCACGCGGCCGCCACAGGGCGGCCCCTCGCAGACGGCGCCCCTCGCAGACGGCGCCTCCGCCCCCTGCGTGCCCACGGCACGGGCGGCGGCGACGCCTCGGGCGGCCACGCCGCAGGCCGCTGCTCGACGCGCGCTGCTGCGCGGAGGGCCCGCGCCGCGGCCGCAGGCGCCGCGGGCGTCCGCGCCGGGGGCGTCGGCGCCCGGGCCGCACGAGCCCCGGGCGGCCACGCCGCAGGCCGCTGCCCGGCGGGCGCCGGCAGCATCGGGGGCGCCCGCCCCGCGGGCGGCCACGCCGTGCGCGGCCACGCCGAGGACGAAGTCGGGCATGTCCCTCCACAGGAAGAGTATGCAGAAACAGTCTCAAAGAATCATCAGGGAACGATTTGATGTGTCGTTCTCGACTGCGTTTTTGATGTGTCGTATTTGGATCGTTTTTGGACGGTGTTTTATTTTTCGTCCATAACCCGCCTGTAGGAGGACATGCCCGACCTAAGCCGAGGATTCGGCAGGCGTGGGTCGTGGGGCACGGCGCCGGGAGCATCGCGGCGGACGGCGTTCTGGCGTTCCCGCCCCTGTGGTGAGGAGCCCGTGCGTCGTCGAAGTGGCGGGTGCCCGCCTCTTGGCCGCCTGACGCCCGGCGCTCCTCACCTCATCCTTCGCCTTCTCCTGCTCCTCCTCCACAATTTCCTTTTCCTTATAACAATAGCGTCAATAATAATAACTTATCCCAGCGCCCCGAGGCCAGTTTTTAGGGCGGGCCGGACTTTTCGCCTAAGACTTCCTCAGACCCTGAAGCTTAACAATTGACAACAGCTTCACAGATTGAGGGCCGGTGGTTTTCTATATGTGGTTCTCGCCTTACCGCCGCGCACATTCGTATTAAACATTTACAAGAGTTTTACGGATTGAGGGCGGGTGGTTTTCAGAATGTGGTTCTCGTCTTGGCGCCGCGCACACCGCGTTAAAATGTTGCAAGAGCTTCACGGATTCAGGGCGGGTGGTTTTTAAAATGTGTGGTTCTTGCTTTGGCGCCGCGCACATTCGGTTCAAACCTTTTGCAAGGGTTTCACGGATTGAGGGCGGGTTGATTTCAAAATGTGGTTCTCGCTTTGGCGCCGCGCACATTCGCTTTTTAAATGTAGCTTCACACGGATTGAGGGCGGGTGGTTTTCAACATGTGGTTCTTAACTTGGCGCCGTGCACATTCGTTTTAGACATACGGAAGAGCTTCACGGATTGAGGGCGGGTGGTTTTCAAAATGTTGTTTTCGCTATAACGCCGCGCGCATTCGTTCAAACAAATTGCAAGAGTTTCACGGATTTCCATGGCAACCATGCCAGACATGGCGTTCTGAAAAGATTCTGGATTATGAGGGCCCACCATGTACGTTGATTCTCGGTTTTGAAATCCCAGGAGTGGCGTTCTGGCACAATTCAGGATCGTCAAGACGCAACAGTCAGGTTGATCCGTGGCGTTGGAGTCCCGAGAATAATGTTTTCGGATGTTTCAGGGTCTTCACAAACATATGTTTTCCAACGAGGCAGTTCCCTCAGTGGAAATGAACTGTTGTAGAGGCCTATGAGGGGGCAGCTTGCAGGGAGGGCTTATTCCAACATCGTTGATGGGTCTTTGGTTTACACTGGTCCTCTTCCTCCTCCCTTTCATTCTCAGTGTGTTCGCTCTCCTAGCTGCTTGCCGCCATTTTTTGCTAGTTAGGGTCCACTGGCTTGATGCGCCTTGAAACGCACGCTATGCAGATCGTGGTAATCGCTACGTTCGGGACGGTGTTTAATGAAGTTGGCACTGTCAGGTCTCTCTCGAGCTGGTTGATATCAGCTCTTCTCTCCTGCTCCTTCTCCCCCATTCTTTTTGCCCTGACTAGTTGAGCAAGCCGCTTACTCGTCACAGAAAATTAGCATCAGCATCTGGTCCTGTCCTTGCACAGTCTGGTGGGAGCAGAGGGCTGTTGCTATAGTGGTAGAAATCCGTTGACCTTGAACGAAGCATCCAGAACGTTAACACGAGCCTCAAAGGGAGACTGGCGGACTGGCGTCGGCATCCGCTGAATGTTGCAGTCGACAAGTATCCACTTTAGACTTCCTAGTGCTGACAGGTCTTTTCCTCCTGTACCTAGTCCTCATAACCCCCTCGGTGCTACGCCTCCTCCTCCACACGAGCGCCCCTCGGGCACACCCGTAGTCTGGGAGACCGTTGGAGCCATGGTCGGTCGTTGATTGAGCAAACGCACCCGTCCAAGGAGCACATCGACATCCCCACTCTGGGCCTCAAGGGGATGGCCCCGGCCGACACCAGCGGATGCCCCACCGCGGACCTCTGCGGCGTCGGCTTGGCCAGGGGCTGCCGCAAGCTTGGCTGCACGCTGATCCGTGACCGAGAGCCGGATCTTCGTGGTCAGCTGCCGACCGATCCCGACACCAAACAGGGCAGCAACGAGGAAGCCGCCCGAGGTTGACAATGCATGTGAGATCATGGAGCATAGGAGCAGACAGGGCGAAGGATCTTCCTCCTCCCTCTCAATATCATCTTCCACCTCCTCCTCCGCCTCCTTCTCCTTCTCCCCTTTGTCATTGTGCTCCTCCTGCTCCTCCTGCTCCTCCTTCCTCCCTTATCCCATCGTCATCGTGATATTCCATCTGCGGGCTCGTGGGACCTTCATGGCCACTCTTCCAGCACTTCACGGTCAGAACTTTGGGAAGTGGCCCGTGCAATCGCCTTTTCTCTTTCCATCCCTCTCTCAACCTCATTATCTTTTTGTTTCTCTTTCTCTCTCTCTCTCTGTCTCCCTCTTTTTGTCTTGCCTTCCCTCCACAGAAGCATGCATATATGTTTTTGGTGTTTTGCTATCTTCCTGTGCGTACATACAGAGACTCCCCAAGCAGTGCTTGCACTCAGGGGTACTTACTTATGCTTTAAGGGAGTAGGGCCTGTTCGTCGGTTGTGTCGTCGCCGTCGCCGCCCCGTCGCCGCCTTGTCGCCGCCCGTCCTCTGAGACTGCGCGTCGGTCTGGCGGCTGTGCCGTCGCCGTCGCCGCCTCGTCGCCGCCTCGCCGCTGCCCGTCGTTTGGGCCTGACCGCTGGTCTGGCGGCTGTGTTGTCGCCGTCGCCGCCCCGTCCCGTCGCCGCCGCTCCGTGGCCCCCTCCCACCCGCCCCTGTCGCAGTCCAATCGATTGCACAACATGTTTTTGTTGCAGCACAGCTTGCACAACAAAGACTGCTCCGCATAACATGCACCGCACTGGTGCGTCCACATAGATTGCACAACATATGTTGCACCACACATGTTGTACGACATTGGTTGCACCACCTAGGGTGTACAACACACAGATTGCCGCACATAGATGGCACCACACAGATTTCACAGCCTGTAGCGCCCCCCACAGGTAGCACCACATAGAGTGCCCTGATGTTAGCCAGCGTGGACCCCAAACAGTATGCTATTGCAGTCTACGCGGTGCAATATATGTATATATACACACCGATATATACATATATATACACACGAAAAACATATGTTTGATGCAATCTACGCGATGCAGCTTGCGTAATGCAATATATGCGGTGCAATCTATGTGGTACAGCCTACGCAGTGCAACCTGTGTAATGCCATACATACGGTTCAATATATGTGGTACAATCTACGCGCGGCAACCTATGTAATGCAACGTATGCGGTGCTATCTATGTGGTGTAATTAATTTCTGTTCGCAGTGAGTTGTCCACTACACTGCTCGCGCAAACATCCCACCCACCCACCCGCAACTTGGTTTGCAAAATCTCTTAAGACCGTGACGGTGGGTACAAAATGGCACTTGGCAACGACAGCGACGCCGGCCACGACAGCGACACCGACGACGACGACGCCGCCGACAACGACTACAACGACACCAACGACGTCTCCAACGACTTCGACGACGCCGACAACGACAACATCGACGACGACGACACCGACGACGACGACGACGACACCGACGCAGACGACGACGACGATGACAACGACAACGACGATGACAACACCGACGACGACGACAACAACGATACCGACGACGACGACGTCAACGACGCCGACGACGACGACGACGACGGCAGCGACGACGACGACGCCGACATCGACGACGACGAATACGACGACGACGCCGACGCCGACGACGACGATAAAGACGACGACGACGTCGCCAACGAAGACGACGACGATGGAGGAGGGAGGACGACGACGGCGACAACGACGACAACGACGACAACGACGAGGGAGGAGGGAGGACGGCGACGACGCGAACGACGAAGAAGGAGGAAGGACGGCGACGCTGATGATGATAACGACGAGGGTGGAGGGAAGACGATGATGATGATGATGATGAAGATGAAGATGAATATGATGATGATGATGATGATGATGATGATGATGATGATGATGATGATGATGATGATATCGACGAAACCTTGTGTTGTTGTAGGTTGTTTGGACACACGATTCTGAAATCCTTCCGAAACCGATGGGTTTCGAAGGATTTCGGCATACGCGCGCGACGGCGCGCGCGTCTGCACTTCGTCACATGTTTTGCAAAGGGTTCTCGCGACGGCACACGCGCAAGGGCGTTCGACAGATTTCGACATGCGCGCGCGCGCGAAGCCCGTTTGGTAGAATTTTGTGTAAATATTGAAAACCGATGGTTTTCTTAAGATTTCGCAAGAGCTCGCGCGTAAGCTTTTTTTCGCAAATCAGTACTGCGAAACCGTATGTTTTTTGTATGTTTTTTGGAAACTCGATTGCGAAATCTTTCCGGCACCGAGAGTTTTTGAAGGATTTCGGCATGCGCGCGCGACGACGCGCGCGTGTGCACTTCGTCCCTTTTTTTTGCAATGGATTCGTGGAAAAGTGTTATGTTGGAGCAAACAATGTCACCGCATAGTGTTTTTTTTTGTACGAAGGAACCTCAGGGGGGGGATGCCGCCCCCCGGGGATAGTTTAAATTCATACTTAGGATGGACATTTGGTCAGAATCATATTTGATTTACATACCCGAAAGGTGAACCGATAACGCTGGGGGGGAGGAGATCCTATTCTGTTTTTAGAAAGGAGAATATATATGGCGCAATCTATGCGGTGCCATTTGCGCGCAGCAACCTATGTCATTCAACCTATGCCGTGCAATATCTGCGACGGCGACGGCGGCGACGGGCGGCACCGCCCGCAAAAACCGTCATTCGCCTGGAGCGGCGGCGACGGCGACGGCGACGGCGACGGCGGCGATGGGCGGCACCGCCCGCGAGCGGCAGTAACGGCGGCGGCGGCGACGGGCGAAGTTCCTTTGGAAGAAGAACCCAAACCAAAACCGAAAGGGTCTAGCACGCCAGGCACCCCTGCGATGAATCGACAGGGGGCGGCGGATAATGGCCTTCGGCCCATCCCGCCACCGTGCCTGGGTTGCGGGTATGAAGCCTAATGGATGTTCGTTGGGATCTCGTGGGAGGCCTCTCGGGGGCCTCTCGGAGGCAGTTTGGACGACTGTTGGGGGCCGTTTTGGTGCATATTGTTGCCTCTTTTGGACCACTTGGGGGCTTCTTGGTACCTCGTGGGGCATGGGGCCTCCTGGGGGCCTCTTGGGGCGGAAGGCTCGGATTTTTTGTTTCGTATTCCCTCTCTGGGCCACCTTTTTTGGGGCAGACTTGGACCTTTTTGGGCCGTTTTGAGCGCCTTTTGGGCCGTCTTGGGGCCCTCTTGGGCCCTTTTGGAGGCCTCTTGGGCCGTCTGGGAGCGTCGGGAAGCTGAAAAGGCGAGAACGCTCAAATCCTTCAAGACCCCAAGGGAATTCGGGGCCCTCTCGGGAGGCTTCTTGGAGGCCTCCTCGGGGGCGTCTTGGAGGCTCCTTGGGCCGTCTGGGGGCCATCTTGAGCGCCTTGGAGCGATCGTTCGGCGACTCGGGGCCCTCTTGGACCGTCGTGGGGGCTTCTTGGGGCCCGTGCTCGTCTGTGTAGAGGCCTTTTCGGGCCCGTGAAATTCATGCGGGAACATTTCCCAGAGCCCAGGGTCGGAGGGAGGAGAAGCGATATCAACACCACCAGGTGGCCCACCTCCAGCGAGGAGGTCCACGATGCCTCCCCGAGCTGGAGGCTGGGGATGTCTCGAGCGAGAGGGGGGGACCACACCACCAGGGAGACCCCCCGTGCCTCTTCGCATCTCCTCGCCCTGGTGGTGTTGGTGTCGCTTTTCCTTGTTCCCACAGGGGGCACGCGGGACGCCTCGGTAAATGGGAGAAGTTGGGGTCCGGGCTCCTTAAGAGACTCCTCGGGAGTGAGGCTTGAGGCTTAGAGCAGTAGGCAGAGGACTTGAGGACACGCCCACTCCGTGCCCAGAGGCACGTTAGCGGAAACACCGAGAAATATGTATGTATGTGTGTATGTGTGTATGTGTGGATGTGTGGATGCATGTAGATGCATGTAGATGCATGTGGATGCATGTATGCATGTATGTATGTATGTATGTATGCATGTATGTATATACCTATACGACCACCCTTCGGGTGATAAGGAGGTTCGGGGGGGGGGGGAACCAACGTCTCACTCGATCGGTCTCACTATCGATCTCAGTATCGATCTCACTATCGGTCTCGCTCGATCGATCTCACTCGATCGATCTCACAATCGATCTCACTCGATCTATCTCATTCGATGGATCTCACACTTGATCTCACAATCGATCTCACAATCGATCACACAATCGATCTCACATTCGGTCTCAATATCGATTTCACTATCGATATCACAATCGCTCTCACAATCAACGTCATCATCATCTTCATCATCATCATCATCAACATCATCAACATCAACATCATCACCAACATCGTCATCATCATGAGGGCACCGCCATCATCATCATCATTATCATAAACATCATCATCAACGTCAGCATCATCATCGGTACAACTTCATCATCATCACCATCATCATCTCATCATCAACATCATCATTATCATCACCATCGGGACACAGTCATCGTCATCATCATCAGCAGCATCATCATAATCATCATCATAATCGGGACACCATCATGATCACCATCGTTCTCATCATCAACAGAATCATCAACATCGTCATCATCCTCGGGACACCATCATCATGACAATTTCATTTTCATCATCGACATCATCATCATCATCAACAACATCATCATCATTGGGGCACCGTCATCATCATGAGCAACATCATCATCAACATCGTCATTAGCATTATTATCATCATAGCGACACCATCAGCATCACCATCATCATCATCACCATCATCATCACGAGCACCAGCATCATCATCGGGATACCATAATCATCATCAACCTCATCATCATCAACATCATTATCGCCAGGACACCATTTCCATCAACATCATCATCACCAACATCATCGGAATCATCATCATCATCATCATCATCATTATCATTATCATCATCATCATCATCATCATCATCGGGACACCATCATCGTCATCATCATCATCAACATAATCATCATGAGCATCATAATCCTCATCATCGGGACACTATCATCATTCTCGACACCATCATCAAGATCACCATCAACTTCATCGGGACACCATCATCATCATCTCATCATCATCATCATCATCATGATCATCATCATCATCATCATCATCATCTCATCATCTCATCATCATCATCATCATCATCATCATCATCGTCCTCGCGGGACACCGCGGGACACCGCGGGACACCGCGGGACACCGGCGGGACACCGCGGGCCACCGGCCGCCCGGAAGGGAGACATTTGGTCCGGCCGCGCCTCAGCCACACGGGACACCAGCGGGACACCGGCGGGACACCGCGGGCCACCGGCCGCCCGGAAGGGAGACATTTGGTCCGGCCGCGCCTCAGCCACAGGAGACTTTTTCTCGCCCGCCCACGCAGCTTCGCCTCGCCCGCACGCACGGCACGCACGAACACGAAACCGAAATCGATTTCCCGGTAGGGGGGCTCTCCGTTCCACTTTGATCTCACCCCCTCACCTCCGATGTATGTATATGTAGGTAGGTCGGTCGGTAGGTAGGTATGTATGTGTATACATATATATATAGAGAGTATGTGTGTATGTATGTAGGTATGTATGAATGTCTGTCCGCAATCACGTCAACAACATTGTGCAAAACATGGGGGGGGCATTAGCAACAGGTGCGGATGTCCCAGGAAAGTGTAGTCACGCAGGGGTGGCGGGAGGTCGTGCCATTGAGTTGCATAGGTTTTCGTTGGGTCTGGAAAGTTGCTAGCAAGCAGTCCTTCAAAACTCTCAGACAAGAAATTGCGATCTAGTGGCATCCACCACCGCGCCTAGGTTGTAGGTCAGAGTCATCTTGGATGCCTCTTGTGGTCCCTCTGGGTGCCTCTAGCTGCGCTGCCGCGCAAATGAGCCTCTCTGCAGTATGGGTCTGGAATGGGGTGGCGCTAGGGGTGTGGGGCTGGAGGCCCTGGGTGGAAGGGCATGGGGAGGCTCACCTGGAGTTTCGCTGTTTGGCATCATGCCCTGACGGGGGGCAACACAAGCCAAGGGACGTGGAGCATCACACAGTCACATGCTGACTCCGATAAGCCAGGAGCCCCGATGCACACGCACACACACACAAACATACACGCAAAGAAGGATACACACATACCGACACGCACGCAAACACACACACACACACACAAACACACACACAAACACACACACACAAACGCACACACACACACACAAACACACACACACACAAGCACGCACACACGCACACGCACACTCCCACACACACACACACATACACACAGACACACACGCGCACGCACGCGCACGCGCGCACACACAGACAAACACGCGCGGCACATCGCAGCAACGGGTTATAATAGGGTAACCGAGCTGGCCATCATAAGTCGCATCAGAGTCCACCAGAGCCCGCACGCCCGAGGCAGCAAGTGCCCCGTCGCCTCCATGTGGAACAACGGCTGCCTCTGCCAGGAGAGAGACCCCGGCAGCAACGCCACCGCCCAGCCGGGTTCTGTGATCCAGGCCTTCCCGGGAGGAAACGCGGTGCCGCCAAAATGCGGCGCAGGGGACAGAGCATGATTTGTGAAATGCGTTGTTACTTCCCGACTCTCGTACCATAGAAGGTGGAGGAGGAGGAGGAGGAAGAGGAGGAGGAGGAGCAAGGGGGGAGGAGCAGAAGAAGGTGTGCGAGGGTAATGGCCTCGGCGGATCACCACCCCTCTGGAGGCTGGTTCGTAGGCTGCGGCAGCCTCCGTGGACACGTTGGATCTAGAACGAGAGTCCTCTGCTCTGTGGCCTCCTCTTGTTCACACTCCTGATCTTTCTGCGCTTCTCCCTTGTTATCCTCATCCACGTCCGTCTTGTATTTCCTCTCCCAGTTCCTCCTGTTCCTCCTCGTGCTCACCCTCCTCCCACACCATAGTTCGTCTGGGAGCGGATTCCAGGCGAGCTTGGACCGAACGTTTGGTATCCTACCTTGCGCTTGGCGCCACCACGGAGAGGTCTTGAGATGGAGGGCACTTGCCTTCGTGGCTTGGCTCGGGGAGACCGTCACCATCATCCTCTTCCTCGTCCTGTTCCTCTTCTTACCTTGCTGCCATCTCGACACAGCCTCACACTTTTCGTGCCCCTATGCGCAGCTACGCAGCTACACTTGCAGCCCCAGTTGGTGGAGAACATGCCGCCCCCGCCCATGCCGGCACAGCCTCGCATGTTCCGCGCCTAACTAGAGAGCTCCGCCTACGGCCCGACCTCAATAATTTTCCACGCAATTGGCATACAACTCGATTAGAACACCTGCAGGGCGAGTTTCTGCAGTCAGTCCGGTGCTCGAAGATTATGCCTCTCGTGTTTTCATATTCTCCCCAACAAGAACGAATCGCGATTTGTCTGTTGCAGCTTCGTCGTATAGCATTGCTCATGGTAAGGCCCCCCATGTGTTTGCGCCCGTTCCCCGCCCTTGACGAGCAACCTTGCAAGCTAGGACTCGATCTATGTGATGTGATATCGTCAAGACGGGTGCGCATCCCATCCTGCAGAGGTGGCGTTGTGGTATGGCTTGTGCCTGTGGGTACCACAGTATCACCTTTGCGAAACATAGTGCCAGAGAAAGCTCCGCCACGTGGCAGTTGCAGCCAGCAGGAAGATCAGCAGCTCTGCGTGGCACGGTATGTTTTAGACCCCCGCGCGGCCCGCTCGGACCCTACTCGCCGTTGGCGCGCTCGCTTACGGCCGCTAACAAAAACAAGTGGCACAGTATGCTCAGCGCTCCGCGCCGCGCTCGAGCACCTGTCCGTCCTTGCGAGCCGCGGTGGGCGCGCGCGCACGTTGCACCCCGCCCACGTCGGCGCACCTCCTCCTCCTTCTCCTCTTCCTCTTCCTCCTCCTCACGCATTACGCTACACGAGAATGCAGCGGGTTGGGCCGCGTCTCTGATTTGTTTCCTTGTCTGATTGCAGTCGTGTGAGGCGAGTATGGTCAGAAATGTCCTGTCTGACTCCCGTCGCTTTTGACGAAGCACGGGGGGCATGGTTTTTGTTCGTGCCAGATGTTTGTTTAAATTTGGGCGCCGCCGCGCGAGACATCCTCGACAATAGCGGTTGGTTGTTTGGTTGGTTGATTGGTTGGTTCGTTGTTTGGTTGGTTGAGTCGTTGGTTGGTTGTCCTGTTTGTGTTGGTTGGTTGGTGGGTTGGTTGGTTGTATGGTTGGTTGGTTGGTTGCTTGGTCCGCTGGTTGGTGGATTGATTTTATGGTTGGTGGGGTGACTTGTTGGTTGGTGGGTTGTTTGGCTGATTGGCTGGCTGGTCGGCTGGTTGGCTGTATGGTTGGTTGGCTGACAATGCGAATGTGTACACAGCAATCGTCACACTCATCTACCATATATGCGAACCAGACAATCAACATCAATTCGCATTGAGGCGAAAACAATAACTCAAGTAAGTCCTGCGGTTGAGGCTGACTGAGCAGCAATGTAGCCATACAAGATACGAAAGGAGGGCCGTCGGGGCGAAGCACAACACACAGTCATGATCCAAGGTCCCCCACCCCCCCATGGAAGCAACAGTCGATTGCCGTTGGGGCGACAAGGCCACTTTGATTTAACCAGCTGCCCTGGGCAGCTCAACCAGCCAACCCAACCGGCCCAACCATCCCAACCGGGCAACCCGCCATCGAGCCCAGCCAGCCACACAGCCACGCCGCCAACCCGCCCAACGCCGCGCGCCTCTTCACGCCTGCCTCGTGCTCTTCCTGCTTCTCTTGCTCTCCCTTCCCCCTTGTCATCCTTCCTCCTTCTCCCTTCCTCATTGTCGTCCTTCTCCTTCTCTTGCTCTCCCTTCTCCTTGTCCTCCTTCCTCCTTCTCCTTGTCTTCCTTCCTCCTTGTCCTCCTTCTCCTCGTGCCTCGTGCCTCCTGCTTCCTCCTTGTCCTCCTTCCTCCTTCTCGTCCTCGTGCTGCGCCCTCGGGTGTGGACAATCGATGCACGTCTTTCTGCTCGGGCGCCACCGTGGGCAGGTCGGGTGTTCTGGGCTCCCTTCTAACAGGCCGACACGTCGGCCTGCCCAGACTACGACAGGCGCGGGTGGAGAGAGAGGGGGATGGGGTGGAGGCAGGAAGGAGAGAAGCTTTCGTTTCGGATGTTGGCGGAGCCATGCATTCAGTGTGTTGTGCATTCGTTCGCCTTGCCCGTTCGTTATGCTTGCCACGTTAGATTTGCGCCTCCAAATTTTGCAATGCTCGTTGTCCATACCTGTTAAGCTCGTTATGACTCGTGTGGGTTTGAGTGGTCATTCCTCATCATATCTCATACGTTCATTTGTCGTTGGACGGTGACCTTGCTAATTGCGAGCGTCCGTGTGGCCTCGGTTTCTAGGCTGCCTGGACATCGACAGATGTGCAGGATGAGTTAGGCGAGAGCCTGATTCAGGAGAGACAAGGATTAGAAGGAGGACAAGGATAATCCAGAAACAGGGGGTAGCAACGAGGACCCGCAGGCCAATCGTAGCCCCATTTAACCCAGAATGCCGTGCTGTGTGGTGCTTGCGAGCTGCACGGTGATTGGACTATGACTCAATACACACGTGCTGCGTCTCAGGGTAATGCGCGCCGGAAGACACCACTGAGCGAGAAGCAACGCACCACACATCAGCATCACGAAATAATCAGTTGTGCGGGCAGTGGATCAAGCCAGAGGGCAACAGCCCGGAGCCAGCGAGTAGCGTGCAACAGGAGTACCACTTGCCACTCAACGCACTTCCGAGGAATGTTGCGAACAGCCAGTAAGGATAAACCTGCGTGGTCTAACGACCCATGGCATTTCAGGGAGTGCGTCTCGGCCGGCCGTGCGCTGTGACGAGTACTGCAAGGCACGTGTTGATGAACACGGAGTGTAATGTAGAGTGTCGTATGTTATGTTTGAGTGTCGCAGGCCTGTCGTCCACCATTGTGTGGATAGGTGGCTGGTGTGTGTTGGGTAACGCGCAAAAGTGTGAATTCCCGCAGCTGTGCTTGCATTTGGTGGTTCTCAACTGCCTCTCAAGTCATTGGGCGATTCTGACGAGGTTTCGCTGGGTGCCTGGTTGGTACTGGTCGAGCTTGCCGCGTGAGCGCCTCATGCGCTGAGTTGGTCTGTCGAAGGTTGGCCTGGTGCCGGGTCGGTACTCGGTCGAGGGCGCTTCGTGAGCGCCCCGTGCGCTGCACTGGTCTATCGAGGGTTCGCCTGGTGCCTGGTTGGTTGGGGACCCAAAGAATACACACCACCACCACCATGTCAATCCCTCCTCTCTCCTCTACCCTCCTCTTCCTCTCTTCTTTCCTGGGGGAGGGAGGGGGTGAGGGAGGTGGTGGTGGTGTACCTTTTCTGGGTCCCCCATGGGTGCCTGGTCCCGGGCGCCTGGTGGGCGCCTTTGGCGCTGGGCTGGTCCGTCGAGGTCTGGTCCATGGCTGCCCGGCGGGTGCCCGGTTTCCTGGGCGCTGCGCGGGCGCCCCTGGCGCAGGGCTGGTCTGCCGAGGCGTCGCCTGGTGCTCCGTGCGGTGGGCCGGTCGTGGGGCGCCTCGCGGGTGCTCCGTGCGGCGGGCGCACCATCATTTGGCATCGGCGTGATCAGCATCGGCGCCGTCAACGGCTTTGCCGTCGTCGTCGTCATCGTCGTCATCGGCATAGGTGCCACCATCATCGTGTCTGCCTCTGTCGATGTCGCCATGGTAAGGCGCCCGCCCGAGTCACAGACTCGCACCGAAGTGCCCGCGCGCCTGCGAGGTTTGCGAGACGCGCTGGGAAGCCCTCAGCGGTCAGCGCCGCCGCAGCGCGTCCGTCGCACAAGACTAGCTGGCCGCTCTGCGCGCGAGCCTGCGCGCGCTAGCGCGGCCGCAACGACGCGCCAGCAAGCGCCGAGCAGTCATCGCAATCGCCGACGCATGGCTTTTGCAAACCAAGTTGCAGGTGGGTGGATGGGATGATTGTGCGAGCACTGTAGTTGACAACTCACTGCGACACAACAGCATGACTTCCACAACATAGATTACACCACGTGGCACGTGCCGCCCACCATATAGCTTAGACCCAACATATTTCATCGCATAGCTCAGACCACCTATTTTGTACTGCGGAGCATACGCCACATAGCATACCCCACATAGGTGTCACTGCCTTTCTTACACCTGCATACATACATGTGTATATACGTACATACATACATACATACATACATACATACATACATACATACATATGTATATTCATACACACATACATACATAGATGTGATACATATGCTACCCCCTCCCCCCCCCCGCAGGGCTCTACCACGGGATTTGCACTCCGCAGATTGCGCCGGATGGTTTAGACGACATAGTTTGTACCACGTGGCTTTCTTTTCCACAGTGCGACAACTTTTTGTCTAAGGCTAACCCTGGTAAGCATGTTTGTCAATGTGCCTTTGTTTACGAAGCCACAGCCAGGGGCGGCTTTACTAAACGCAATGACCCACACGTTCAATACTTCGTACAATGTGTGCCACATGCAACACTGCGCTCAGCTCCATACATATTCCCGTTGGACGGCTGATACGTATGACGGTCAAACAGCCATCCCCGTCATTTTTCTCATATCGTTTTCCAGAAACATGCACCTTCCATCATACGTTGGTGATTGTCCAACCCATGGCCACCCGCCCAGAAGTTGCTGCACACTGCATGCTGCCGCTTCGACCTGTCTATGTGATGTTTTGTGAACCTTATGCATGTATCGCCCATCACCCTTCCCACACTACTTCAACAATCAATGGCCGTCATGGATTTTCCATCGGAGGTTAACTCGTTCCTGGCGTGTTTAGCCGCGGGGGAACGGGAACGGTCCGCCCTGGATGCGCCTGGTTCTTCGTCGCCACGTCTGTTCTACCAGCAGCTGCACCGATTAGGTGCCCTCTCGTCGACACCCCCTTCGGGTCCGTCGGCCATTTTCACACGCCCGGCCCCCCCGTCAGTCGCCCTTGGCCAAAGAGTGGGGGAGTCGGATGGCGGATCCCCGCCAGCGTTTGCGACGATCAAGTCGCTTACCTCAGGTTCGGAGAAAGATGCAGCGGCTACTGGCGCCCCTGAGGTCCCCTTGGGCCTCGGGGCACTCACTCGGCGCGTTGGCTGGGCAGGCGGGCGTTGCACCAGTTTCTGCGACAACTGGCCGCCATCCAGGGTTCTCGCGCGCAGTGGCTGGGGCTGTGACGTGGCTCGTGCGGGTGGCCAGGTCGCTGCTCGCTGCGCCCGCCCTCGGAGTCCCCTCCTCTTCCTCCTCCACCCCCCTTTTCTGTCGCCCCTCCTCCCTCGGCCGCCCTGGCCGCTGTTTGCTGCGAAGGCCTGGTCCCTGGGTCGTGTGTGATTGCGCCCGCTCCGTGCTCCGCCTGGGCACTTCCTCGGCGAGGCCTGGGTGCCAGGACCGGCCGGCTCACATCCTGGCCAGGTGCACCTCTTTTATCGGAGCCTCAGTCTGATTGTTTCGCTCTTGCGTAGCGGATCAGTTTTGGTGTTGGCATCATGCACCTGCCTCCGCCCGGACATTCGCCTGGCCCGGCTGCCCCTTTTTTGTCCAGTGTTTCCGCGTGCCGGTTCGAGTCTCCAGTGCAAGCTCGTCGGCCAGGCTTGGAACTCGGTGCTGGTATAGACATCGCTTCCGCCTGCACACCCGTCCAGCTTGACACCCACGCTCGAGTTGATGGCCTCCTTCCCGGCTCCACGCACCCTGGAGCTCTGCCAGTTTGCCTCGCCCCTGGCGTGTGGCGATCGAGCAAGCTGTCGCCGGGCCGTCCTCTACTTCACGCACCGGGCTCGGTGCCTGAGGCCATCTGCGCCATCCTCACCCGCCGAGTCTTGGCGGTCGGGGTCCGTCCCTCTGTCTCCTCCGCGGCCGCCCTCTCCTTTCCCACCTGCCCCTGCGCTTCGCGCCCGACGCGGCCCGCCGGACACGACACCTGCGCCCACGTCCGCCGGCGCCGCCGATGAAAAGCTTCATCGGAGGTTCTGGGGTGAGATCGACATGAACGGGGCCGCCCAAATGGGAAACCGAGTGGTTCGTGTCGGTGCATGTGCCGCGTGGTGTCTGCGTGTCGGTTCGTGTGCCGCGTGGAAACCGATGGAAACTTGCGTGTCGGTTCGTGTGGTGCACGACGTGCGTGCGGGCGAGGTGACGCTATGTTGCGAGAGTTCCTGCCGTGGTACGGGATGAGTCGGGCCAAGATGAGTCGCCCTGGCCCCGGAGTTGTGCCGCGCATGGTTGTCCCGATGGCTGTCCCGATGGTTGTTCCGATGATGGTTCCGATGGTGTCCGGATGGTTCTCCCAATAGTCGTCCCGATTGTTGTCCCGACGGTGGTTGTCCCGATGATTATCCCGATGGTTGTCCCGATAGTTGTCTGGACGGCTCTCCCGATTGTTGTCTCGATGGTTCTCCCGAGGGATTTTCCGATGTTTGTCCCGTTGGTTCGATGGCTCTCCCGATGTAGCTGTTCCGGAGGTAGTCCCGAAGGCTGTCCCGCTGGTTATCCCGACGGTTGTCCTGATGGTTGTCCCGATGGTTGTCCCGACGGTTGTCCGGATAGTTGTTCCGACGGTGTTCCCGACGGTTGTTCCGATAGTTGTCCCGACGGTTGTCCTGATGGTGGTCCCGTGGTTGTCCCGAAGGCAGTCCCGATGGATGTTCAGATGTTTGTCCCGATGATTAACCCGACGGTTGCCCCGATGGTTGTCCCGATGGTTGTCCCGATCTTGGGGACCTCTTAAGCCGTCCTGGAGCGTCGGGAAGCAGAAAATGCGAGAACGCCGAAATCTTCCAATAACCTCAAACACATGCATGCTTTCTGTCTCTTGGAAGCCTCTTGGAGGCCTCTTTTGGCGTCTGGGGGGCATCTGGGGCCGTCTTGAGACCGTCAAGGGCGTCTTTGAGCTATATTTCGGCGACTCGGAGCCCCCTTGGACCGTCTTGGGGGCCTCAAAGAGTCCCGAAAAAGTAATGACAGAAGACGCCAGGAGCCCCGATATTTCAGAATTTGCGGTCTGGGCCCTTACAACTCAGGATTGAGGACTTCAGCTCCAGGTTTTGAACAAGGAACCTGAAGCCACTCCAACTCGTGCCTCAAGGGTACGGTGGATCTAACGAGGGCTGCGGCGATATCCATGGCCGCTCCACAACATTGAAGTTCTACCGACATCCAGACCTGATAATTTCTAATCCAACGCTTCCTGGTCCAATGCCCTCACCGTAGATCGATTGATGCATACAAATCGGTTGCGAGGCCGTGTCGCACAGACGTCTTGATAGAGATGCCGATCGATGGACATAAAAAACAGTTGTCCCGAGTGTTGTCCTCGTACTGTAGTGATACCGGCAGATCGATTGATAGTGTGGTCGATCGATATCTAGTGAGGCCGACAGCTAGGGAAATTGATAGGTCGATGGTCGGCAGATAGGCAGATATGTAGTGATACAGATCGATCTTTGACGAGATGTAAATATGCATATTTTTTCTGGACACGTCGACCAGTAAACCGATATGTTATAATGTAATTATTTGGATGTCCCGACGTATGCCCTTTCGTGGGCTGAAAGGTGCATCCGATGCAAATCGACGGTGGCGCCAACCATCCCCCCAAACTTCCTTATCACCCGAAGGGTGGTCAATAAGTTGTACTGTCACGCGTTACAGTGTCCTGAACAACCATCAAAGTTGAGCCAGGTGTCAGCGCACAACAGTCGCTACACGACACAGCGTGATTCTTCGGCACATCCGATCACACGCAGTATGCCGTTGCACATACCAGATATGTGGATTCAAATGGAATTTGATCGCGCTTGGTGTTCATACCGATCGTTTCATCTCACAGAAATCGCCCACGTATCGGGCAGACCGCCCCTCCATAGTTGCAAGCAGCTGTTCGTTGCCTTGACTCGCTTACCAATTGGGGCAGACGCGTTACATCCGATGGTTCGCGATCAATTCCCCCCCCGTGCACAGAGAATTGTGCCAGGTAACTCGATTATGGTATTGGTCAGCGTGGTATGGTGTAAGCACGGTGTTATTGCATTGCGTTCGTGTCCACTTGAATTTATCGCAGTCTGGAAAGTGACCTAATAGTGTGACCCGCTGGCATGGCTACTACAGCTCTTTCGCGACCGTGAGACGATGGAACACATGCGGTCTGTGAGGAGGGGGAGGGGTGGAGGAGGGGCAGATGGAGGAGGGGGTAGCGAGGATTAGGAGGGGGGGTGAGGAGGGGGCAAAGGGTGAGGAGGGGCAAGAGGCAAGAGGGGATTGACGATGATGAGGAGCAGGAGGACGACGATGAGAAGGACCAGGGCAAGGAGGAAGCGGCTGACAACCTTGGCCGAGGTGCGGCGTCCTGGCGGCGCGGGGCTGCTCCGCGTGCCCCGACGACACCTGGACCAATGACGGGTGCACCTGCCGCCAAGCGATATCCCCTTCGCAGTTCTTCAACAGCTCGGGGGGGAGGTCACCCGTGGGGAGGAGGAGGGCTTCGAAAGAGGGGGGGGGCAGGATGGAGGAACTCTAGGGGGAGACGGAATGGGGGAAGGAGGATGTGCTCAAATCTGCCAGGTCGGACGAGCCAGCGGGCCCGGCCCACCCATAGAAGAGTGATCAAAGGCGACATAACCCGACACTGGGATTGGAACGAGTTTCTACATGGCGAGCGGAAGGCGTTGGTCCCGCTTCCAACGACTTGGCGAAGAGACAGGCTGGCCAAGCACGGGCAGAAGTGGAACTGCAGAAAATGTGTGCTGGCCGCTGTGGCGAGAGCACCAAACCCTTGCTCGGGCGGCCAAATTTCCGACGAGCGCGGCGACTGCAAAACACGTGCCGCGCCGAGACAGTATTGCCACTTTTGCGCACAAGTTGCACGGCGTTTGAGCGAGGGCAGTATTTCGCCCGCTCTCGCGCGGCACCGTCGCTGCTGCCGCTTCCATTCGATTCGGCGAACGAAACATATCACGCCCAAGCGGGAGCTCCACTTCCAACCGAAATCAGCATTGATTGTGGGTTGAGGGGGACAAATCGTCCGCTCCTGCGCTGCTCCGCCCCAAATGACTTGGCGAGTGGCGAGTTTTCGCCGCTCCAAGGCGTGAGCGCTACTTTCAGGCGATGGGACGAGAGCAACATTCCCGTCCGCGCGTGATCCCGCTGTCGACAAACGCCGAGAATCTCCATCTTCCGGATAAGTGAATGCGCCGCCGAGACGAGAACAACATTGCGCCCTTTCGCGCGGAATGTGCGCCGACGTCCCACTTCTGCCACATGTTCTGCAACGGCGACGGCAACACGTGAATGTTGACAGGAGAATGTATACGTTCTGTTTTTCCCCAAACGCTGCTTGCACTTAGGGCCACTGATTTGTTTCATAAGGAACTGGGCCTGCGTGTCGGTCTGGCGGCTGTGTTGTCGCCGTCGCCGCCCCGTCGCTGCTTCGTCGCCGCCCGTCGTCCGGGCCCGCGTGCCGGTCTGGCGGCTATGATGTCGCCGTCGCCCGGTCGCCGCCTTGTCGCAGCCACGCATGCCACATAGATTGCACCGCGCGGATTGCACCATATAGATTTTTCGGATTGTAAAAGTATGTTAAGATCTTCTGCCCCCCACCCCAGACTTAACGGTCCTTCTTATCGTGTGCAGTTTGCACACGAGTCTGCCCCGTCGTCCATCCTGGATCTGAATTTATACCATCAGCGGCGGGCCTGTATCGCCCCCTCTCATCCTTAGCAAAAAACTATGAGCGCGCATTCGTTCATCACAAATGATCAGTTTTCAAGAATCCCTTGCAACATTTCGGACGAAGTGCGCACGGGCGCGTCGTCTCGCGCGCATGCCGTAACCCTCCAAGATCTCATGGTTTCACAAAGATTTCAAACTCGAGTGTCCCTAAAACATATACAAAACGCATGGTTTCGCAACAAATGCGTTCAAAACAAAACTTGCGTGCGGGCTCTGTTTTTCACAACAAAAAATGAAGCCAGTGATGTTTCAACATGTTCTCACATTCTACCATACGTGCCTCTTGCGCGCGCATGTCCAAATCACTCGGTAGCCGTTGCGCGCGTGCTGTCGCAAGAGTTCCTTGCAAACAGTGAGGCGAACTGCGCACACGGGCGCCGTCGCGCGCGCATGCGGAAATCTTTCGAACATTCCAGGTGTCGTGGGGATTTCAATTTCGTGTGTTTCGAGAGGCGCATGAAACACATGGTTTTGCAACATCAGTTTTCAAAAATGCGTGCGCCCGCGCTCCTGCGAATTATCTAGGGAACTGTCTGCATATATATATATATATATATATATATATATATAAACAATGTATATATATGTATGTATGCATATACCTAGATACCAAACAACCCAAGACATTCAGCCAAACGGCCCTCTCGCGCCGCATGTCAAAATCATTCGAGCGCCCTTGCGCGCGTGCTGGGGGGGGGGCGCGATCCTTGTCCAATAATACCATGCGGGCCACTCTTGTGCGTCGGCCGCGCGCGCATGCCGAACTCTTTTCAGAACCTTCATTGCCGACGCGAGGACGCCGTCATCGTCGTCGGCTTGATCAGCATCGGCACCTTCGCTGGCATTGCCGTCGTCGTTGTCATCATCGTCACCAGCATCGCTACCAGCGTCGAATCTACCTTTTGTCAGAGGTGCCATGATACCGCTCCCGCCCAAGTCGCCGACACGCACTGAAGTGCCCACTGGGCCTTGCCCAGCGATCAGCGCCACCGCGGCCGCGTCGGTCGCGCCAAGCTACTTGGCCGCTTCGCGCGCGAGCATGCGCGGGTTAGCGCGGCCGCAGGGATGCACCAGCCAACGCCAAGCACTCATCGCAATCACAACTGCGGAGGGGTGGGTTGGGGTGGGTGGGTGTTGCGCGGGCACTGGAGTTGTCAGCTTCACATTCGGCCGGGCGAATTGCACCACGTCGATTGCCTCATATATATATATATATACATATATATATATATATTGCACAACGTAGATCGCAACACGTATATTGCAAACGTAGATCGCAATGCACACATTGCACCAAGTAGGTTGCACCACGTATGGGTAGATTGCACCACCCGGGTTGCACACAATTGATCGCACAACATGGATTGCACGACGTAGGTCGCAGCGCATATGCTGCACACCATAGCGCAGCATATAATGCACAGCGCCTACTGTACAACGCAATTAGACGACACCTCACCGTTCGCACGGCATTAATTGCACCGCGTATACTGCACCACGTGGTTTGCACAATCTATACGTAGCACCCCGCATATGCGGGCCACGAGGGCTTGTCCCCGGCGAACAGCGCCGCCCACGTGCGCCACGCCGTGTCGGCCTATTGCTGGGCCTCCCGGATGGGGTCCGAGCAGATGGGGTCGAGGGATCGTGCCGCTTCCCCGATTCATCGGCGATGCTTTTCGATGCGGAGCACGACTTTCCCCGCGCCGATGACGCTGATGCATCGCCGATGTCGCCAGCGCATCGCATCGGCGATGCATTGGCGATCCGGTGCGATCCTCCGACCCCATTTATTCGGGACCCCATTTAGGAGGCATCTACAAATTATTGCCCGCCGGACCGCAAGTTCTTCGGCCCAAAGCTCGTCAGACAAAGCATTGTCTTGATAAGTTGAAGAAAAATGGGCTCGAAGCTCGTCCACCAGAAGCTTGGACTGCTGTTGTTCAAGACCTTGGCAGTGTTTCGGCTTGTTGACAGACATGCAGATATTTGTGGTCGCCCCGCGAGCCGTTCAGGAGCTCATTGTTGTATGGAAATGCTGGGTCGGCGGCGGACTGCAGGCCTGATGCGCCACTCGCACGAGTACAGCGTCACGGATCATGCAGTGCGCTTCTCCCTCGGCATGCCCCGATCGTCTGCTTGCTGATGGTGAGCCGGCTACTGTACCCTGGACGCGTGAAGCGCGAGCGGCCTCGCAGCTTGGTGGCCGCCCTACACGCGCGCTCGCGCGAACTGCCCGTGCCGTGGATGGCGACTGTGCGCAGCGATGCGGTGATGCTGCAGAGCTCGGGTTTCTTCCCTGGCCTGCCCGCCTTCGACGAGCCACGAGACGGACCGCAAGATTCGGCCGAATCCTGTGGCGAGGACCGCGCCGCGCCATAGGCCGCCCTAAGGGCTGACAGGGCCGCGTGGAAGCGGGAGGTTAGACGCATCCACGTCGTTGGCTCCTCGCGCGATCGAGTGCGGGCTTCGAACGCCAGCCGGGCCGGTGCGCTGACGCTGCCGTGCCCCTCGTGCACGCGCAGGTCTGCACGCGCCGAGGGCCCGCGCGCTCCTCCATCTGTCCGTGCATCGGGGGCCTGGTGCCCCCTGGCCCTGTTGGGTCTCCCCCGAGCGGAACCTGCGTGGGGCTGGTCTCCTCCCCGGGGTCGGGGTCCGCGCCTGTAGCGGCGAGCGAGAGACTCTCGAGGTAGTCTGAACAGTCTGAACATCTGTCCGTGCCGCAGTGCCGATTTTCGCGCGCGGGTGCGCCTTCCCCACCCTCTCGGCGACCGTCGTCGACCTCGGCGCGACGCTCTTGTCCTCGAGCCCTGCCCGCGTCTGCCGGCAGCAGCGCTCGCCCGCGTCGGTTCCTGCGGCTGTGCAGGGCGTCGCTCCGCTCGGCGAGCGGGCCGGGCGCAAGCTCGTGCGCGCGTTGCCGCCCCCGCCGCTCGCTTGGGCGGCCGAGTGTGGAGCGCTTCGGCCCGCCCAGCGCGAGTCGACCCCGTCTTGGGCTGCGATGGCCACTGCGCTGAAGTCGGGCATGCCCGTCCACAGGAGGAATCTAGCCAAGAATGGTTTCTGAATATCCAGTGGGACTGTTTAATTTTCGACAATGTTTGGGCATTTCTTGCTCGTTGTCTTGCTTCCAAGATCTGCCTGTAGGAGGGCATGCCGGACCTAACTCTGGCGGCGGTGCACCGCAGCTCGCGGTGCGGCCCCGCCCAGCAGATCTTGGTCTTTGCGGCCATCGTTCTCGGAGGACCCAGGAGGAGGGAGGGGGCGGAGGCGGAAGCGGAAAGGGGGAGAGGAGTGAGGAGAGGAGTGAGGAGGAGGAGGAGGAGGAGGAGGGAGGAGGTGGAGGCGGAGGCGGAGGGGGGAGAGGAGAGAGGAGAGGAGTGAGGAGGAGGAGGAGGAGGAGGAGGAGGAGGAGGGGTTGGAGGGGGATCAGGCTTTGCGCCTGGCCCCCGCCCGAGCCCCATCTCCATCGTCATCTGTAGCCCCATCTCTCTCTCTGTCTATGTTTCCCTTGTTGCTCGTTCCTCTCCCTCTCTCTCTCTCTCTGTCTCTCTCTCTCTCTCTCTCCTTTCTCTCTCCCACGCTCCCCCATCTCTAACTCTAAACCAACAGGGACTGGCGGGTAACCCTCTCTTTTGACGGCTACCCCTCATAAGTTTTCCTGCCTCCTCATTCTGCCGTCCCTTCTGTCTCGCCCTCCTTTCCCAAACACGGACTCGTCCAACAAACGGGCAACCTTCCCCCGGACGGCCTGAGCACCGTCGCCCGCAGTGTTGGGGGCGGCATGGCGTCGATGCTGGGCATAGGCCGAGCGCTGAGTCCTTGCCACGGCGCGATCGCCGGTCTCCTCCGCCTCCGCCCCCTTCCCTTCCTCGCCCTTCTCCCGCTCCGCTCACCCCGCGTCCCGCCCCCCCTTCCTTTCCCTCCATACTATTCTCGTCCTCATCCTCCTCGTCTTGGTCCTCCTCCTGTCCTCCCTCACTCATGCTCCCCCCCCTTCCCCTCCATATCATTATCGCCATCATCGTCCTCGTCTTCGTCCTCCTCCAGTCCTCCCTCCATCATGCCTCCCCCTCCTTCACCTCACCCTCCGCCCCCCCCACCCTGCCCCTCCACGGTAGCTGCGGATCGCTGGCATGGCGGCCGCCGATCGTGTTGCTCGCTGGGTCCGATGGGCCCCAGAGCGCCGTGTCACCCGGTTGGCCCGATCTCGCCGCTCGAGCAGAAGCGGTTGTGGCTCGTCCTCTCCTCCTCCTCTTCCTCCTTTTCCTCCTTCTCCTCCTCCTTCTCCTCCTCCTCCTCCTCCTCCTCCGTCGTACTCCTCATCCCTCGTTCTCATCCTCCCTCGTCCTCCTCCTCCATCGTCGTCGTCGTCCTCCTCCTCCTCCCTCCTCCTCCTCCTCCTCCTCCTTCTCCTATTCCTCCTCCTCCTCCTCCTCCTCCTCCTCCTCGTCCTCCTCCTTTGTTTGTTCCTCCTCATCCTCCTCCTTCTCCTCCTCCTCCTCCTCATCATCCTCTTCCTCCTCCTCCTCCTCCTCCCTCGTCATCCTCCTCCTCCTATTCCTTTTCCCCTCCCCGTGCTCCTCCTTCTCCTTCTCCGTCTCCTCCTCCTCGTACTCCTCCTTCTAAGTGCTCTGATAATCCTATATGTGCGGGGCAGGAGTACGGAAGGTCTCAGAAACGAGATGCAGTCCCATCTGGCTTCAGCAGCCTGCGCCGTCTTGAGCCCTGAATGGGGGCCTGAGGAAGTGGTGTGCCCGAAGGGGCCAGCCTGGATTGCATCTGCGCGACGCCAGAAAAGGGGTCGTCTGCGCCGACATTGGCGCGTAAGCTGCCCGCGTAAGGTCGCGCGTAAGCGCCTTCGCCTACAATGTCGCGTGAGGCGCTGGTCGCCTGCGTAAGCCGCCGCGTAAGGTCATTGTGCTATCTCGCGTGAGACCCGTTTTGATCGTCGCTCAGGGGTTTGTATGCACGGTCGCGCGGGTGGATCACGGGTGGGGCGCAAAGGTCAGGTTCAAGCTGTCGTGTAGATCGTTTCACTGGGGTCGCTCCGAAAGCTTTGAGATGCCACGCGTAAGGGTGATGGTGCAATGGGTCACGGGCAGCGCTGTCTTCGGAAGTGTTGGGGCGTTCGTTCTTCCCCCAGAACGAGAGGGTCGCAGTGTGATCGTGATTTGGTCCTCCACTTCTGTGGGCGACTCCAGGGAGCCTGATTACCAGGACATGTAGGGAAACGAACGCACCATTGGATAAGAAGATGAGCTGCCTGAGGTCAATGCAGGAAGGCAGGCGGTGTAATTATTTAGGGTTTTATGGGTGAGGGGGGAGGCGAAGAGTATGACATGGCATTGCGTAATTCCGTTGGAGCCGCGCCCCACAGGGCAGTGTAAGGATAGTCGCCGCCCCCCCCCGCCCGTGCGGATCTAGCAGTTGCGCGGACGAAAGGCGGATCATTATGGTAATCGTATTGTTGTCCGACTCGATTCTCATTCCAAGCCATCCTGTGTTGTTGGCTCTTCGATTTGAGGATACAGCGCCGCGCGTCTCTTTCTTTCCCTCCCGCTGCCTTCCCCCTTCTCTCCTCCCAGCAATCATGTCGGCACACCCCTAACAATTCCCGGCCTCATAGGGAGCTTCGCCGAAGGCCCCAATGGTTGCTTTCGCATGTCGCCAGAGGGAGCTCCACAGGAGGCCCCAGTGGCGGCGCTCGCACTGTGGCACCTCACCCATCCTGGTTCACCCCCGACACGTTTCGTAGCCCCATATGGAGCTCCACCGACGGCCTCAGTGACTGCGTACCGTTCGCATGGCGGATCCGTCCTTACATACTATCCCGGCACACCCCTCACACGTTTTGTGATCTCACAGGGAGCTCCGCCGAAGGCCTTAGTGGCTGCGTTCGCATGTCAGCACCGCGCACGTTTCAGCACACCCACTATACTCTTCGTAGCGCCACGGGAAGCTCCACCGAACCCCCGAGTGGCAGCGTTCGCATGGCGGCACCGCGCCCATTCTGGTTCGCTCCCCACACGTTTCGTGGTCCCATAGAGCTCCGCCGAAGGCCTCGGTGGCTGGGTTCGCATGGCGGTGTCGCGCCCATGCCGGTACACCCTCACACGATTCGTGGCCCGCGATGTTCCAATTTCGACACGCACACACACAAACACACACACAAACACACACACACACACACACACACACACACACACGTGGGCGACGGGCCTCCGCATACGGTCGATGAGGGCGGCCGGCCTGGCTGCCATGATGCGTGCGGCCCACACGACGGTCACCAATTGGCAGCAGCTCTTCGCCTGGCTCCACGACCAGCTCGACAACGCGTCGCTGCTCGCCGTCGGCATGCGGCAGTTCTCCCCGTCTTTCTGGAGAACGAAGCCCATCGTCATGGGGTTGGCCGGGGCGCACGATGGCTTCGTGAGTGATCGTGCGCTCGCCCGCCTTGCTGGCGCCGCCTGGGCTGCTCTCCGACAGGCCGAGGAGCAGGCTCTGGCGTCGGGCGGGCGAGTGCGCGTGCAGAGAAGTCTGTATGACTCGTTGCACTCCTCCCTCCACCCTGATTTCCTCCACCTCTTGACTATGCGTAGGATGAGGGCGTTGGGACTCGAGGTTGCTCGTGACGCCCGTGTGGGTGCCGCCATCGCCCATGATCGATGGTCCCCTCTGCGCGAGCTCCTAAAGAGGGTGGCCCCAGCGTGGCAGAGCGCCGTCCTGAAGACAATCTCAGGGGCTCGGTTGACCTCGGCACGGCTTCATGTGCAGGACGGCGCGCACCCGTGCAAGTTTCGGTGTCGTGAGCCCCCGCTGGTCCCTGCCCTCGATACATTTTCCCACTACCTTCAGTGTGCTGTTCTTTGGGGCGCTGCATATCCCCAGGGTTTGTCGCCTCCCCGTTGCCTCAGAGCTCGGTTAGGTCTCAATGGAGCCCCATCGATGCCGTGTGTCGAGGCTATGGCGATGGCGTATCATCTCTACAACACTGCCCGTGTTAGTGTTCCGCCGCCTGCTGATGAGGAGTGGGACGGCCATCTTTACGAAATTCGGCGCGCTGCACTCGCTCTCGTCGAGCTCACAAGGACTCGGGAGGCTCCGTAGGTCTCTGGGGCGCCCGTGTGGACCCTCCTTGAGTACGAGCGACACACACGCACGCACGCACGCACGCACACACACACACACACCACATTCTTCGTGGCCCCATAGGGAAATTCGCCGAAGGCCCCAGTCGGTGCGTTCGCATGGTGGCACCTCGCCCATTTCGACACCCCCTTCACGCGCGTCGAGGCCCACGATGGATTTCCACCGAAGGCCTCAATGGCTGCGTTCGCATGGCGGCGCCGTGCCCATTTAGGCACATCCCTCACACGCCTCGTGAACCAATAAGGAGCTCAACCGAAGGCCCTCTCCTTCGTCGAACCTGCCTCGCAATATTTTTCGCCGCAAATTGTCGGGCCATTCGCCTGGACTTTATCCGGCTATTTCGAATATGCGAGAATTTCACGGAACAAATCATTGCCCGTTTTTCAAGTCGCTTGCTCGGCGTATACTTCTACGTAGTTCCCCCAGCGGCGATCATAACACATAGGTTCCTGCTTTTGTAGAATATAGCTATCTTTCGGGTGCCCTCATAGCGGTGTGTTTGCGGTTGATGCATGCAACGATGTTATCCTTAAGTACTTCGCCCTCTGCCGCTGGCCTCCCTTCCACCTTAAAGGATTATGCAGGAGCCATGTTGGGACGCCTGGGCGCCGTCGTGAAGCAGTATCGACGCCTCGGGCGAGGATTATTCGTAATCTCCAAGAGAAATTGATATTCAGATGATAGGGCTGAACTCTGTTGAGGCTTTTGACGAACTTCCCCTCATGCTGTGTATCGGCTGCCCACTTGGAACGACCGTGGGCTGCCCGAGGCTACGTCGGGCAAAATCGCGCGGCTTGGACGGTTTTGGGGTTTCTCGGGCAAGGGAGCGTGACGTCGGGAACGCGAGCTCGGCGTAATTTACAATCGGTCGTAGCCTCGGGACACATGCTCGTGGCTCGGAAACACGAATATTGTGTAATTTAGAGGCGAACGTGGCCTCGGGGGCACGAACTCCAAATCTTCTATTAATCGTCCCCCAGGTCCGGTGTTTTAAGGCACTTTTTTTGTAATGGGGGTGGTCCGGTTTATTGGGCCCTTATCTTTGGATTGGACCTTAGGGGGATCCGGTTTATTAGGGCGCCTTTTGGAAATTGTTGTGCCGCTCTTTGTTCTGGATGCATATCTTCATCCTAGTCATCAGCATCATATTCATCGTCATCCTTATCCGCATCATCAGCATCGGCATCAGCGATGGTGGCGGTAGCAATGCAATGGCGACGTGCATCACGACAGCGATGGTGCGCCCGGAATGGCGAGGAACAAATTGCTTTTCAAATGCAACCGCCTGGGTGTTGATAAATCTTTTGGCGCGGTATGCTTAGAACGGCCCTCTTCGGAATCTGAACATTGCACTGCGTCCCAAAAGCGTGCGCCTCGGTGTCAACAACTCTTCTGGTGTGCCCGCAACGGTGATGTTATTTTGTTGAAAGGGGGTGTCCAGAATATTAAGCCGACCCGTCGAAGAGGGGGGTCCAGAATATCAGGTCGCATTTGGAAGGGTGGTTTGGTTTTTGAGAGGGGGGGACCATTCATACGGGATTTGGAGTATATGGCGCAATGTACGAGGGACTGCTGCCTCGACAGCACGAATGTTGCACAATTTTCCAGGATCGTGGCGTCGGAAGCACGAGTCTGGCGCACATTTCGGTTGTAA